TCTTGATGAGTGGTGGTGGCACACGCCTTTAATCCCAGCACTCAGGAGGCAGAAACAGGCTAATCTCTGAGTTCAGGGCCAGCCTGGTCTACAAAGTGAGTTCCAGGTCAGGCTCCAAAGCTGTTTCAAAAACAAAGCAACAAAAAAAGACTCATTTTTTAGAAGGTATTCCATCTTTAAACACATACGAATGCACTATCCTGTTAAAAGGACTGGAGAAGAATGAGAGACGAACAGAATTCCACAACCCCAGCCATAATTAGCAACATGTTCTTTATGTTCCTTAACAAGCTCAGGACAATGGCCTGACACTTAATCTGAATACATAAAACTGTGAGGAAACATACCAGAAAATTAAATCCATGGTGGGACTGGAAACGAAGGCCCAACAGGGGGAAAGGGAGCTGGTCCACAAGAGAAGAAATGATGAACTATGGAGACTTATTACACATGGTAGGGAGAGACCAAAAGGGTAGCTCTTGCTGGCTTATGGAATAGAGTAGGGTAAAGAAGGAAAGCCTACCTTCCAGAATGCTAATGTCACTGATTCTGGGTAGAGAGGAAAGGGACAGTCACATGGGAGCACTAGTAAAGTAAATAACTACAAGGCACCGATATATGGATCAAGATGTGGATGCAGCTCAGTTGGCATGCTGCCTCTCTAATGTGCAAAAAGTCCTGGGTTTGAACCCCAGCACTACACAAACCTGGGAGTGGGGGTGCATTCCTGTGATCTAAGCACTTAGGAGATACAGGTAGAAGATTTAAGAATTCAAAGTCATCATCAGCTACACAGCAAGTTTGAGGTGCTTCGGTGAAACATGAGGTCATACCTCAAAAACACCCATAATACTCATAAATAATAATAATAATAATAAAATAATAATAATAATAATAATAATAATAATAATAATAATGGTTACTGATAGCCTACTGAAAACAGTGGGCTGCATTCCCACTGTTAGCCAGTCTGCGATGCAGTACAGATGTCACAGGTGCTGTATGTCCTACTGGAGGACCCTGGAGACAGACATCCACGGGATATTCCTGCATCTCTTGTTTGTGGGATCTGTTCATTTTTGTGACTCACTTTCCACATTTATAAAAGGGAAGCTATGCTTCTTCAGTAAAAAATTTAGGGAGTTGACTGGACTGATGTAGATAACATGTTCAGAAGCATGCATGGCACATAGGAAGTGATTGACAAATATTTGTTCTTATTTTACTAGGATGACACCACCACTGTCATTTCTTCTGCCTGACACAAAGCAACAGCACAGTCTCAACAAACTGTTACTCAAAACATAGCCTTTCAAACTTTGAGATCCTGAAGATCCCTGATATATCATAATTGGAAAGAGTTGAATTATGAAAAAGAGTAGGAAGGATCCCTGAAACCCAGATATGGGTCCTGAGGCAATCTGGGAATTTCCACATATCCTACAGAGATGTCCTGTCCCCAGTGAACCTTCTAGTCCTCCAGGAAAGGCTCTCTCTTATGGATTGGGTTTTAACTCAAGTAGCATTTCTTTATTCCACCTAGCCTCTCCCTAATCCATATGAATGATAACAGGCAACAAAGAAAGGAACAATGATTCTAAAAGAATGAGGAAGTCTTTGGCACAAGTGAAAGTTCAGTCTCTACTGTTGACTTAGTGTATGTCTTCAGCTCTGCAACTCGCTTCCTCTTTATAAAAGATGTATAGCCACCTAGTCAATTTGCAGCACCGTCCAGTAGGTCACAGGGAAAGGGAACCTCAAAGCAGTTGTGTAAACACAAAAATTATTTTTGAGGTTATAATGGTATCACTCTATGGGTTCTCATGTTCAAATGACCAAAGAGATTCTACAAAACACTTCAAATTTTAGGAGTACCGCTGACATCATCTACTTTTCTTCAGTTTTATCATGGCGTCTTTCATAGATACTCTGTGGATTAAACAAGTTCACGGTTTAAATGGATATAGTCAGTTTGGCTAGAAGTTACTAACACTGATATCCATGTAGTGCTTTGATACACTTCATTAGCAATCTGAGATGCACAGTTTTATGCTGTTTTTTTTTTAAGACAAAACCCCCAAAATGGAAACTAGATGATCCCTGTTTGGCTCTTGATAAAACTGAAGTTCAGAGAATATAAATAACTCACATATGACAATGTCAAAACTGAGATTTGAGTCCATGCCTGCTCTTTCTTACCCCTGTTCTTTGGACAGAGTTCTATAGGGTTCATGTGGGCCTCTTGGAGAAGTTCTCAAATAGTCTCATCAATATCAAACCTATAAACTTAAAGATTTGTGAAACTATATGAACAACTATCTACCTAGTTACTCAACAATAAATAATAAATGAAAATAATAATGTTTGTGATCCCCACTATGTATCTTGTTTTTTTAAAGCTCTCTTCATATAGCAACTAAGGTTTAATACGCTGTACATGATTGTACTTGTATAAATGCAAAAACAATTTTGAGGTTATAATGGTATCACTACGCTGCCTCTCATATGTCCAAATGACAAACAAAATATCATTGGAAATCATGTTATGAGTACTACTGAAATGCACATCCTTGGGAAAAATATATTTTAATGCCATTAAAGTAGACCAAGGCTGACCTTCAAAGTCAAAAAGAAGAAAGAAAAAAAAATCCTAAAGTAGAAGAACTTGCACAGAATCAGACAATTCTGGGATTAGAGATCCCGGACCCACCCCAAGGCAGCTGTATCTCCTAACAAAGTTATCACTTTAAGTTTCTATTGCTCCAGAGAGAACATAAGGACAGCAACAACACCTAGCTTCACTGAGTTGCCATAAAGTCTAAATTTAGCTTTGCTGAGTGTGTAAAATGCCTACAAGTTGTCTTCATGAGCTGTGTCTTCTCTTTAATGACACTAAATGGTAATGTTCATGAATGAGCTCATAAGGAAGTAGTTGCAGAGTGCACTGAAATTACAGATAAACTGGTATCTATGAAAAACCATTTACAGCACCTGTGGCCAGCCTCACCCATGAACAGAAATGAAAGTCAGGATGAGGATTCCCCAGAAGAACTCTCTGAAAGATGAAGTTGTGGCAAGAAACAAAGACCCTTTGATCCACAGACTACTTGGGATAGATGTGTACAATGAGGTTTGAGCAGACAGCAGAAGGGTGAGAGTACACCATGCATTGAAGACGAGCAACAAAAGGCTTCTCAATCTCAATTGCCCTGAAGGCCAAGACCTTGTTCATCAGAGATAGTGTTGAACAGTGGTTGGAGTATCAGGTATGCACTGAGACAGGCCAAAATCCAATGCCCAATCCTATTACTTACTAGACTGGCTTTGGGAAAGTTGCTAAGTTTTTTGAGTATCAGTTTCCTTTTGGAAATAGTAATGACACATCCATTAAAAACATCTACTTTTTGAGGTAAAATACTCGGATGAGGTGGTACAGAATTAAGAAATAAAAATCCATGTATAACACTCTCAACACTCAGATCTGTGAAAAAGCAATTATAGCTTAATACTCATATTGATAATAAATTATATGGGAAAATTGGCCACCTGAATAACATTAAGAGCATAAGGTGCTAGAGAAATGAGACAATGTCAAAACAAGCTATCAAAACCAAGAGTCTTGGGGAGGGGGTTGCTGAAGTGGACTATTGTCCTACTGCTTTACTCTCACTGTCATTTGGAATTGCTGTTATCTCCTCAAAACCCTTTTCTCATCCATCAGTCTTGGACTGTCAAAGGAATTCTGGGTGTATGGTCCATCTTTAAGACACCTTTGTGAACCTGAGGCTCAAGCCAGTGTTGCAAAGTCTCTGCCTCCCACTGACAAAAGCAGTGCCAGCCACAAAATGATTTAGTTCTGAGAAACCTTTCCCTTAGGGGACAGAAAATGCCCTGGCAAGGTTCAGGGAGCCACATTCAGTGTCAGAAGCTAAGGAACCCTTGGTAAATTCTGCTCATACTTCAGCTCTCTGTGTCAACACCCTTCCAAAGATTACTCTGCTACTGTATGTGTGGCTTTTATGTTTCTGCCCTAAATTATATTACAACACTTAGCTCTTCCTTTTTCAAATTCTCTATACATTGCTCACATGTAAATAAAGGACTGGTAACAAAGTAACAAAGAGAATTTAACTCATCAGAGAAATTAAAGAAATTCCAGGTAAGTGAGAACTAGATCTGAAGATCTAAAAGGGAAAATATAGTAGTAACAGGATTGTTCTCAGGCTCACCAGCCAAAACTGACAGAAAATGCCAAAGTAAGGTGATTTCATTGTTATGTTCACTTTTTTTCTCTTTAGAGTCGGGGTCTTGCTATGTAGCCCATGTTGACCTAGAACCCCTAGATCCTGATACCACAGCCTCTTGATTGATTGCTGGATGTGCAGGCATATGCCACTGAACCTGGCAACATCAAATCATTATCTAAGGTAATTCTGTATTAGCAAAGACATATTTTCTGCCTGTAAGGGTTAATAGGACTTACCACCACTTTAAGCATTCGTCTTCTTCTTTTTTTTAATCTTGGTAATCAAGTTGCCTAAAACTTCTCAGTTAATGAACGGCCAAATTGTGCCTTAGACCTACAAAGTGCAATGTAAACCCTTAGAAGGAAGTGCTACTTTCAGTTTGGCATGAAAGTGAAATTCTGCATGCCAATCTTCTGATCATGCTATGTGTATGGCAACTCTGGAGACTTTGTACAGTTCAGAGTACTGAGAAAGTGCTGGCAACATTCAAGCCAACATACCTTGTTAACATACGTAATTTGCTATTCAGAAAAATGATCATAGGAAATGTAGCAATAGCATAACATTAATATGTTTATATAGAAGATATAAAAGATATCATAACATCAATACATTTATAGACAGTGAGTGCAATGCCATCATTAATCTAATACACACTTGTGCTAAGTTCATATGCTTGGCACACATGTACACATCACATACATGAATTAAAAACATGGCAGGGACTCCCTGCTAATGAGCTTTTTTACTTACCATCCTATAATTTTTTTGTAAAGATGCCGTTTCTTGTATAAGACAACTTTTATCGGAACCCAGATCAAGAGACTCACTACAGCCACATAGGCAATGGAACAGGAAACAATGAGCCAATAGTGCGTTCTGTCAGATGAACTCTTTGTGCTCTGATAGGAAGTAGCAAACTGTTCCATTATCACCAGGGTAGGAATGGAGAAGGCAGCAAACTCCAGAAGCTCAAAAAACACCAGCTTAATTATTTTACCAGAAGCCATCCTGAGGAGCAGCAAGCAGCCAAGTATCTGGCACTCCCCTGTTGACTGTGAGCAGCATATGAACATACACTGGATCAAGTTCCTTGTACTCGAATCGCTAACCAGGGATTTTATTCTTTTATTGACCCTCATGGTTCAATGATCTTCTGAGTTAACAACCATAATCTCTTAAAGAAACAGAGCCACTGTGGAAGTGACCACTAAATGCATTTAAACATCTCCTATTAGAAGTCAGAAAAGCTCTCAAGCATGGAACAGTGGTTAAAACAGACATTTTTGTTTTTGTTTGTTTTTATTGTAATGTTTATGGGTAATTTTGGCACAAGTCATTTATATAATAGTTAACCCTTAGTAGGTATAACTATTAGAATACTGTAATTCTACAGTTGAAAAGAATAGATTTCATTTACTGGATTACATCTATACTTTTAGTTCCACTTTTATATATAAGTAAATTCATGCAGAGAGGTACTCAAACTCTTAACTCTTCATCTTCAAATCTACTCTTTGTAATACTTCAAAGTTCTGAGAAAGGGAGTTTGGATTCAGTTTATCAGCTTCCTAACCAGGATCCCTCCTGATATAATATTCATTCATTATTGCATGCTGATGAGTGTGCAACACAAATTTATACTGTTCTTCATTCACTGGTCAGGAAACTGTCATAGTATTATTAGAAACCTGTTATCAGGATTTCCACATTCAGAGCTCCGTATGTCTAAAAAAATCACATGAAATATGTAAAATGCATAACCATCCAAGAAGGACACTTCCCTTGTAAAACTTACTTGAGGCCCCACGATTATCATTTTGCTTGGTATTATGGTGTGACAATGACCAACAGAGCTGCCTGCTCTGAAAGTGTTCATAGTCCAATAGAAAGAACAAACCTATTTAGTAACAACAGAGAACAAAGACCAAAGGTATAAACTATATGATACAGTAAAGCTAAAGCATGGGACGACTTTCTCATGGGCCATGAGAAAGGGAAAGAAAGATAAAGGATGACTAAGATGAATGAGGGATGTTGGTGACACTTCAGATAGAAAAACTACAGAGGGAGCTGCAATGGTCAGCAAGAGCCAGCAGGGCATAGCAGGGACTAGGAGAAGGTGACATTAGACTACTCCACTGAGTTCCCCCACAAATAAATGTCCTATAAGTGTAGAGCAGTGACATGGAAAGAATTTATTACAAAAACATGTTTTCTTTTTACTGTCTCTGTCTCTGTCTCTGTCTGTCTGTCTGTCTGTCTGTCTGTCTGTCTGTCTGTCTCTCTCTCTCTCTCTCTCTCTCTCTCTCTCTCTCTCTCTCTCTCGTGTGTGTGTGGGGGGGTGTGCGGGTGTGTCAGGAACACAGGCTATCATAGACCACCTGATGTGGGTTCTGGAAACTGAACTTGGGTTCTCTATAAAAGCAGTATTCTTAACCACTGAGCCATCTCTCCAGCTGTGATTCTTGCTATCTGCCCACAGAGAACCCAATACCATGGAGTAATTGTTGACTATATTGATATCCACTGAATATTTAATGTAACCAGATGACTGCGATCCCTATGGGAAATGATACAAATGCATAGTAAAACCTGGAAATCCTTATAGAAGGTGCTGAACAGATCAGGAATGGGGAAAGTCTCCACTCTTCTCCAGCCACATCTAAACAAAGGGCACACTGGGTCACAGAACATCCTGCAATCTACCTAAGACCTGAAGTACCCTCAGCCCATCAGATTCTTTCCTTCAAGAAAGTGAACTATCTTTTGCTATGATAAAACACCAACAAAACCAATTTGTGGATAGGGGGTCTCTCATCTTACAGCTTCCATTTTATCAGTCAGGGAAGTCAGGTAAGGGACTCCAGGCAAGGAACATGGAGGAAGGAAGTGAAGCAGGGGCCATGGAGGTATGCTGCTTATTGGCTTGGCTCCAGGCTCACACTTGGCTATTCATTCTTATACTTTTCCAGACCACATACAGTGAGCCAGACCTTTACCTATCAATCATTAATCAAGAAAATGTCCCCAATGGACTTGTCTACCTGTGAGGAATAAAGGAAGCCTTGAGTGTGTGAACATGTTATTGACATGGTCATGGTCATGTCAAGGACCATAGCTTCAGATCCATGGGTAAATGCAAAGCCTTCCCCCCAGGGTGAGGATTAGAGGGATGATGGCTAAGCACATCTGGTCCATGTGTGGAATCTGATAGTATGTGCAGAGAATTTCCAGCATAGCTTTCTGCCCATGACCCACCCCCGATGTTTACAGCCTGAAGGTTTCTCCCCTAAAGAGACTGTTCCTACCATTATTCAGCTGTATTCAGCTTCCTGTGCAACTGTATATACTAAACTTACTGTGATTTCTCCTTCAGAGATCTCAGCCCACCTGATTCTAGCTCTTTTATGCCCTTGAGTCCATGTTTCTATCATTGTTTTGTTTTTTTGTGGCCCCAGTCAGGTCAATCCCTGAAAGCCATGCAATGACTCAGCCCCGAGAGGCAAATCTAATGAAAGCATTTTCAAAGCTGAGGTCCCCTCTTCCCACATGAACCAGTTTGTCTCACATTAAAAAAAGAAAAAAACTGTTGTTGTAGGTATGGCTTCGTTGGAGGAAATCTGTCACTGAAGGTGGGCTTTAGGTTTCAAATGCCCAAGCCAGGCCCAGTGACTCTCTTGCTCTTGCTGCTGCCTCCAATCTAGATGTAGAACTCTTGGTTCCCTCTCCAACATCATATCTGCCTGTACACCACAATGCTTCCAATCATGACAATAATGTTAGTCCTCTGAACTGTAAACAAGCCCCAATTAATGTCTTCCTTTATAGGAGTTGCTGTGGTCATGGTGTCTCCTCACAGCAATAGAAAACCTAACTAAGACAAATGAGTTATCTCAATTAGGCTAAACAAGTTGGTGTGCTGCACCATCCAAGGTGCCAGACTGAACACAAAGGAGAAAGCCAGCTGACCACAAGCAATCCTCTCCCTTTACTTCCTGATTGGGAACAGAATGTGGCAGCTGTCCCAAGCTCCTGCTGCCATGACTTCACCTCCTGGATGGACCATACCCTCAACTGTGAGCCAACAAAATAAACTCTTTCTCCCTTAAGTTGCTTTGGTCAATGTATTTCCTCACAGCAACAAAAATAATTTGCAAAGACAGTAAACTATGTGATGATTGAATAAATAAGCAGAAGCCAGATACAGAGGGAACAGAAGACTCAGCAGAAGGATGATGTTAATCCAGAGAGTGAAATGACTGGGATAGACTGATGAGTAAGCACACCAAGACACACCCACCCTAGCAATGGCTCGACTCTTCATATGAACCAATACAAAAGGGAGCCATTGTTCTTTGCATCTCTGTTCAAATACACATGCACGCGCGCGCGCACACACACACACACACACACACACACAAAGTTTACTATGAACATTAAGGAAAAGAAGTGAGGTTTAGGTACAAGGGATAAATAACATTCAGACATGTGCAAAAGCTGGTAATTCAGAAGACATGATCCTTCGGAAAAAATGTAGAAAGCAGTGGACCATTCGCAGAGCTGAGGACAGACCTCTACTACTCTACCTCTTGACTCAAAGCAAAATCTACTTATTACTGAAGCATTTTCTTTGCATAGGGGAATGAAGAGGCCTCCTCTCTGAAAACTCTCGTTAAGAGTGTTCACGCTCTACAGACAGAGCTGAAGAGGAGAAGGGAGAAGCAAGTTGAAGAGACTATGATTAACACCTTCAGTGACACAACTTCATTTTTTACTCTAAAATATTGTAGTGATAATCATATAAATTTAAAATTCAGAAAGAGACCCATCAGATTCATACTGCTGTGCCTAGGAAATGAGGGAGAGATGTGTACAAAGGAGTTTTTAAAATTATTTCATTAGTATTGCCAACATCTAAATATTTCATAAGCCTAAGAAATTAGATGATAAGTGTAGACTAAGAAAAATGTGTTTTAAAAAATGATTGCAATTGGGCTGGAGAGATGGCACAGCAGTTAAGAGCACTTGCTTGCTCTTGCAGGAACTCAGGTTTGATTCTCAGCACTCACATGATAACTCAGTTAACCCCAGTTTCAGGAGATCTGACACCCTCTTCTGGCCCCCAGGGACACACTGTGTGCATGCAGCCAAGCCCTCATTCACATAAAATAAAAAATAACTTGAAAATAATCACTGCAATTGAATAAAATTTTGCACTATATTTAAGTCCTTAATTTGCCAGTTTACTTCCCTCCTTTTTTCCTTGGGCAGAAGCCAGATAAACAAATTTCACTTCCACTTAACCTCCAAATGGAAGAACTAAATAGAAGCAAACAGCCACAAAACTAACATCAAGCAGGAGAAAGCCATGGAGAGCCATTTCCCAGGTAGAACTGAGTTGCTGTCTCCTCCTTTTGCAGACTAGTTGAGAAGCGTGGTCTCCATCCTTTGGTGCTCAATCTGGAGTACGTTCTCCTGTCTAACCTTTCTCTAGTCACTTTCTCCAAGTGACATTTCCTCCTTTGTGTCGAGTGCTTTTGGAAGCCCTCTGGGCTCTCAGTTCTATCTATCTATATCCTGGTTTGCAGACTGGATCTCCAGAGAGCGCATCCACTCCTTGAAAGCAGGAAACATCTGCCCTCATCTTTGTGTCATCATTTCTCAGCACAGAACAGACCCTTAGCACATATTCATGGAAGCAATGAATGAAGACAGAGAGGGAAGCACAGAGCAGCTGTAGAAGGCGCAGCCTTCACTCATGGCTAACTGTTCTTTTATTCCAAAGGAATAATGTTGTTCCCAACACTGCATTTCAGGAGAAATCAAGAGAGAGCCATCTGCCCCCTCATAATCTACTCATTCAGCACACATGCTCAGTTTATTTGCTTGGTCATACTTACACCTACTATGTCTCCTTCCTCCATCACATGGTTCTCTGGAGTCCTAAGTCAGAGAAGGAAGACAAAGTCTAGGGGGTTACACAACTCATTTCATAGCTGACATTGGG